TTTCTTTGGAATGTTTTCCCACTACTCCATTTTGAATACAAACAGTAATTCAACATTGCTCAATTCACCAACTTCTCTAGGGGGAATCCTGATTTCCGGGCAGAAGTTTGATAAAGTTGGTAGCTTACTGAAATGTGGATTGTATTTTAACAAAGGGATCAACAGCTCATCCAAGTCCCTTTGACTCTAGAGGGAAATAACACTTTTAGGTGGAAACCTGCAAGATATTTGGACATCTGCATAATGACTGAAATTAGCATAAGTTTACATAGTACACTACTCCATTAGAATTTTGATGACTTGGAAAGGAACAGAAGGTTGTAAATTTCCTAAGGGAAGGTCTCTGGAGGGTGTGAAGTCTTGAAACAAAATCAGCCCAATGTAAGAAACCTGTTGAGAATGACTGAAAGGACAGAAAAATGACAAATGTGTTGCATTTTTCCTAACAAAAAGTGACCTGTTGCTGCTGGTGTGATATAGTACTCTTTAAAGGATGGTAGTAACAGGTGGCCTCTCTTTGTTCTGCTTGTTGAGAGGTGATATGGTATGAGTCTATTCATTAGATACCTGTAATCATAATTTTCTCATAGCAATACTTGTGTGAGGGGAGAGGAGGAAAATAAGGAAAAGGAAGAAGATGAAATGGTAGAAGATAAAAAGGAAAATAGAGGAGGGGAAGGAAGCAAGAGGAGTTGGGATGAGGTCTGCAAAAACAACAACAGGGAATGTGGAATCTGCTCTATTTTATGGTTTAGCTGTCAAGAGGGTGTGCCCCTAAAAGTTTCTAGACTGTACATGGATAACAGTAATTTACTAATTTACTCTGCCACAGATTCTGAAATCTGCCCAAATTTTCAGCCACACTCTGCATATGAGGATAATGGAAAATCACTCCTGTCCTGTTGGTCCTGACAGTAGAAATTTGTGCTTGAACACGCGAGCAAAGGCTGACTTAAGTGAAAAGCTGTCACTTAAAACAGGACAATTGTTTTCTGTAGAGGTGCTCAAAATCCATGGGCAACTGTAGAATATAGAAAAGTGATTCCTCAAATTTCCCCACCAAAGACCCGTCTGTTGCTTTCTTTCTGTCACATGAAACCCATAATTTGAATTTTTTTCCTACTGAACATAGTCCATGATTTGATGATTCTTAATGTGTTTTCCATATTCTTATTAATCAGTAAGATCTAGCCTTCTGTCATTCCAGACTGGTATTAGAAAACATGATTCCCTCCTTCAGCTGATTTAAATCTAGTCACACGGACACTTGGCCTTTTAGGTGGCTTTCGTCTTATGATGGAGAATGGTAGTCACTGCCTTTTTGCAATATTGAAAATAGCTCATGGTATTGCTTAAGTAGACTAACAAACATATGCAATTATAATATTAGAGTAAAAAGGGGAATGAATTCAGACAGCCAACTTCAGATCAGCTAGATGGATAAATAACCTAGTAAGTGAGGTTGGAAAGAGAACTTGGGACCTTCTTGAGCAAGTTTTAATAATTTGCCCCTCACTTTTCTGCCTGCTTTGACAGATGTGTGGCCCATTCTTTTACATTACTAGTCCCAGATAAGTGGAAAGATGCATGGAAGGTTGAATCAGCGAATGTTGAAGTAGGCCCCGCTCCTAGCTGGATAAAAGATTCCAGAGAATCACTCTGTTTCCCTGAGCCCCGGTTTTCTATCTATAAAATGAGGACATTGGGCTGTGTGATCTTGCTATCTTTTTCTATTCTAAAGTGATGTGATTTTTTTTTTAACATTACTTTCACTGAGCCTCATTTTTCTTATCTGTAAAAATGGGAAGAATGCCTACCTCACAAGGTGACTTTGAGGATTTAAAGATAGCAATTGAGTGCCCTTCCCTATACAAATCTACTTGATTCTTGAATTCCGTTATTAAGAGTTTATAGAATGAGTCCAGATAGTGAGGGGTATAACACTGTTTGAATTTATTTGAGTTCAGTATTTCATATAGCAAGTGGTGAGTTTTGGATGGTGAGGATTTATCAAATGTTTTTAGTTCCTGGATATCTATGGAAGCACCTTGCATGTAGGCAACACTCAATAAAGATTTCCCCTGGTCTCCTTGACCTTGAGGATAAAGACAGCCTTGTTTAGCTTTGCACCCTCAGCCTGTGGCACAGTGTCTAATAATCAGCAATGTCTGTTTGTGTTTGTGGCCCTCAGGTGAGTCATGGGACCCTGCTGAGTCTTGGGTCCTTTGCTATAAAATGCACTTAACAATGTATATGTCCCATAGAGTTGCTGTAAAGAATGGTACAAGATCATGTCAAAAAATGCAATAAAATCACATCTCTCATGCACATATAAAATGAACAGATGCTTAAGATTTTATGAAATTTGCAAATCATTGAGAGAACCAGGAGTATTATAATCATTTAAAAGAAGAATTCATAGTCGCCTGGATGGCTCAGCTTGTTGAGGGTCTGACCCTTGATCTTGCCTCAGGTCATGATCTCACAGGTTGTGGGATTGAGTCCTATGTCGGCCTCCTCGCTAAGGATGTGGAGCCTGCTTGGGATTCTCCCTCTCCTTCTCACTTCCCTCCCCCAAACAAATATATAAACATCTTTAAAGAAAAGTCCAAAATAAACACACATTTATATATCAGGAGTATTGAAATTGATGTGCAAATATGGGTGAACCTAGCTTCCTCCACAGTGTGCAGAGAAGGCAGCTGAACCTCTCTGCTAGACTGGATAAAATTTGTGTGTTTATAGAAAAGAATTATTTGGGGGCGCCTGGGTGGCGCAGTCGGTTAAGCGTCCGACTTCAGCCAGGTCACGATCTCGCGGTCTGTGAGTTCGAGCCCCGCGTCAGGCTCTGAGCTGATGGCTCAGAGCCTGGAGCCTGTTTCCGATTCTGAGTCTACCTCTCTTTCTGCCCCTCCCCCGTTCATGCTCTGTCTCTCTCTGTCCCAAAAATAAATAAACGTTGAAAAAAAAAAAACTTTTAAAAAAAGAAAAGAATTATTTGTTTATTTTTTCTAATAGCTATTTATATTTCATAGAGTTATAGATTCTGTAGAATTCTTCCACAGCATCAGAATCAAAGAGCAGAAGGGTGTGCTAGAGAAAACATAGTTTTCCATTGAAGAACTTTTTTTCCACATTAATAAATCAGATAAATGTAAGTCACTTAACTGGTGCCTAGCATCTAGCTGGACCACCAATAAATGGTTATTTTAAAAAATTGTAATAATGAAATAGTGGCAATGAAATAGATTGAGTGTTTTTGCAGATAATTAATTATATCAGAATTGCAACTCTAGCAATTACTTAGCCTCTTTCTTAGGTTTGAAATTCATCCTCACATATAATCCAGGATTCTGTTCTCCCCGCCTTTTTAAGTTTATTTATTTTGAGACAGAGCATGAGCAGGGGAGTGGCAGAGAGAAAGGGAGAGAGAATCCCAAGCAGGCTCCATACCATCAGCATAGAGCCTGACACGGGGCTCAGTCCCATGAACCATAAGATCATCACCTGAGCTGATATCAAGAGTTGAATGCTCAACTGACTGAGCCACCCAGGTGCCCCATCTGTACCGCCTTTTGAACTATAAGCTCTACTATGTGTTTTGTTTTGTTTTGTCTTTTTTAACATGTAGTAAGAAGAGTCAACAATTTAGACATTTCTGTCCGGAGTTATCCTAAGTTTGTGGCAAGGGAACTCTTTCACTGTCCCTTTTGCTTAAGCAAGGATTCAGTTGTATAAAAAGTGGACTAAATTTTATGGAGTAAAAGTAGAAAATACTGAGACTGTATCTAATTTGCAAATTCTACTAAGATTTGGGCAAGCTGGGAAGACTTTCTAATTAATACTTTTAACAGTTCTTGGTTGGCTGTAGGGAATAAGTGAGCAATTTGGGGATATTTCTAAAGAGGAAGTATTCCATGTGAGGAGCAAGTGTTTTCTGTGGCTCACTATTTCCTGGAATATGAGGAGATCCATGGAATATTTTATTGCTGCCATAACGATCCTTATAGGTTGGGAGGAGAGGATCACTACAGCTGATGGTCTCATAATATAAACCAGTTAATACAACAGGGTGTTAAATAAGCAATATGGTTTAGATGCACAGGAACTGATGTTGTTGAATTTAGTTACAAGAGTCCTATGAATCTAAAATCGATATAAAACTTCAGGCCAAAACAATTGTGATAAGGGAAAGAAAATTTATGTGTTTAAGGAATTAGACCATAATTATGGAGTGATAATTATCATATCATGAAATGACATGAAGTTTATCAATCTTACCTTGGAATTTCCCATAACCCAATGACCAAGTCACTCTTTTTATGTATGCATGTATGTATATATGTATGTAGTCTTAGGGCATATTTGGTATACAAAACATTTTGATATTATTTAAACAAAACAAAAAATAATCTATGAGCTTCTCCTATGCCTGAGTAAGGAAAGAGTAAGAGAAGTGGATTCAGGTTATCTAGTCTTAAAATCTAACCTCCTTCTACCTATAAGTCTTTCCCTTATGATCTGAAAAATGTCAGAGAGAGAGCTATAGGTAGTAAGTGCTAGAAAGATTGTTATGCTAATTGAATAGGATAATATGTATATAAAAATACTAGTCCAACCCCAGGTTCATGGTAACTTCTCAAATGTTAAATTCCTTTGCACCTTCTGAGGGTATGTGATAACAGGCAGATTTTAGTAAAATCTATAATACTGAGTCTCTAATAAATATGTTTTTATTAAGCTTTTGCCATTCACCTGGTGTACTTCTACTAGTTGTAACTGTAGATACCAAACCACATTGACCTGCAGTGTAGTTTTTAAAAGAGAAAAGCTTTGTTCCCATCACTTTCTATTACAAATAATAAGAATAGTCTAAAAAAAAATAGCGTGAGTTATGGATGCTAAAAATCTAAACTGTCAACCAGTATTTATCCAGCATTACATATTCTAAGTATATCCTTTTATTTTGTGTGTGTGTGTGTGTATGTGTGTGTTTATAGAAGTTACTGGAAGAGCAGAGATAACCCATGTAGATTAACAGAATGGAAACATCCTGAAACTACTCTGGAGTATGAATAAATTGACCGGATTCAAGTTTCACAAACAAGGAAACTGGTCCATGGACAATTTGCCATAGGTAAGTGAGAGGTATAATTTACTCTGTTAGAATCCTTCAAAGATTCATTGACTGTGGGGCTGTTAATTGCATTTCAGATGATTCTAGTTTTCCTTTGGTACAGCTGACAGCTTCTCTTCCCTCCCAAACATACACATGTGTATGCCAACATCTGGCCAAATATCTGGCCATTTCATCTTGCTCATTTGGGCTTCAGTCAGTTACAAAAGGAGGAAACGGGGGAAAAAAGTACCCACCTTATAAAACTTTTACTAGCAGTGATTTCTGTGGAGGGGCGGGCGTCAAACTAACTGTTCCTCTAGCAGATGTTCCTTTGCACAGCCTGGGAGTTGTGGCAGATTGGCCTGCCCAGGATTCAGAATGAAAGAGACAACTGATGATGTCCCCCTCCTTTTTTGAAATGGGGGCAGCAGTTAGGTTTTTAATATGGAACAAAGTGTTTGGAGAAGGTAGCCGGCTTTTTATTCTTCCTTTGAAAACCTGGTGAGATTGGAAAGCTTGATGTGGTAACAGCATGAAAATAGTTGATGTTGGGCTACTGGAAAAGTTGAACTTGTCTAAATGAACCAGTAGGGAAGCATGAAAGTCCAAGTGACTCCTACAAGTGGCAGTTCATTAGCTCGACATGGATTGTGGCATCTCCTTCAGATAAATGTTGTGCCACCAATGGTCAAGACCATTTGAGCCCAGAAGTAAAACCTGTCCAGCTCTGTAAAATGGAAATATGTTCATTCATCTGTGGTGTTTCACTGTGTTGAAGAGAAAAAAATATATAAAGTTATAGTGGCATTAAGCTCCATCTATATGGCAAGAGAGACATTTATACTTGCCATTTTAATTGGCAAATACTTACTTGAATCATTCATGCTGTTTTAAGGGAGAAGTAGAAATGTTCTACAAACCTGTAGGAGGAATTGCTCATACATTTTCCTGTTGATATTTAGTTCTCCCTGGGCTGCATGTATAACAGATATCTGTCCTAAATCCATAACTCAAGACTTTCCTGGAATACAGCTATTCTCTCCTGCATCAACTCCATCACGTTATTTAGATTAAGCTAATAGAAGACATGCTATCTCTCTTCAGGGAGCCCACTTTGTTTTGAGAGTCCCATAAGAACATTAGATATGCAGAAAGTGCTCTCTAAAGATGAGGAGGCAATGGCAAGATAAAGTATCATAGGGGAACATGAACGAATGGAGAAAGAAAAGATTTTAAGCTCTTTTTTTTTCAAGTATGCATGATTGCCCCTTTTCTTTGCCTTTAATCTTAATCCTTCTATCTATTCAGAAAAGGAGGTGCTTTTTGCTTGTTTGTTTATTTGTTTTTGTTGTTGTTGTTGCTTTTAGTTTGGCTCTTTTATTTATTTTATTTTTTTTAAATTTTTTTTTTTCAACGTTTATTTATTTTTGGGACAGAGAGAGACAGAGCATGAATGGGGGAGGGGCAGAGAGAGAGGGAGACACAGAATCAGAAACAGGCTCCAGGCTCTGAGCCATCAGCCCAGAGCCCGACGCGGGGCTCGAACTCCCGGACCGCGAGATCGTGACCTGGCTGAAGTCGGACGCTTAACCGACTGCGCCACCCAGGCGCCCCAGTTTGGCTCTTTTATAGGGAAGATAGTCACCTGTAAGTGAAAAGAAAGATACTCTGGCAACATATGTGAGCCAGAACAGAAGAATAATGTGAAAACAAGGGGAAAAAAGGGCAGTACTGGCCTGTCTTTATACGTTTGTACTTTTCTCAAAAACAACAGAAAACTTTGCAACTCTACTTCTCCCTGAACTTCTGTCCATCCCCCCCACCACTCTTGTTTCTGATTGTTTTTCTTAGCATTCTCTTTGCCCATCATAACTTGGCCTTACACATAGTCTCACAGCCTCTCTAGCCTCTTTCCCTTTATTCAGCTTCAAACCCTGCTACAAATTGCCTGAATCCATTAGATTGAGCTCCGGAAACAGAAACCATGCCAGTTATTTTAACAGATAAAATTTGGGATGCCTGGGTGGCTCAGTAGGTTAAGCGTCTGACTTTGGCTCAGACCATGATCTCAGGGTTAGAGCCCTGCCTTGGGCTCTGCGCTGACAGCTCAGAGCCTGGAACCTGCTTCAGATTCTATGTTTCTCTCTCTCTGCCCCTCCCTTCTCACACTCTGTCTCTGTCTCTCAAAAATGAATAAGTGTTAAAACAAAAACATAAAATTTAAGAATCATTAACCAGATGGGGCACCTGGGTGGCTCAGTTGGTTAAGCATCCTACTTCGGCTCAGGTCATGATCTCACAGTTAGTTCGAGCCCCAAGTCAGTCTCTGTGCTGACAGCTCAGAGCCTGGAGGCCACTTTGGATTCTGTGTTTCCCTCTCTCTGCCCCTCCCTTACTCACACTCTGTCTCTCTCTGTATCTCAAAAATGAATAAATGTTTAAAAAAATAGATAAAATTTAACAATCATTAGCCAAATATTGGAGAACTGGAAAGGCAAAAGAGGACCCTGAGGAATCAAACATGTAGTCACTACAGAAGTGGCTACAGTATTCAGGGACAGCAGGCAAGACTTTGAAATGATTAGAATTTAGAATATTGGAGGCGGGGTTTTGCAGACCTGGACTTCAGAAATCTTGGGTGAGAGCATTGTCTGAAAAGTAGAGGAACTTCAGAAGCTCAGGGGTGAGGAGGACTCCACATTGCTGAGATTCATGACTCCAAGAATTCTACCAGCTCCGGGTGCTAGTGCTCCAAGAGCTCAGATTGGGGCCATATGAGCCGCAACTCAGAATTTTGTGAAGGATGCTGTTCAGCCAATATTATACCCTGAAAAACTAGAAGGGACTCAACAGACAGAACTGAGACCACATCTCTGAGGATGGGATACCAGGCAGCTAGTGTTGTTATAGCTCTTGGAGAGGGGGACAATGAGGTTATTTCTAGGAATGTAGAAAACAATGCAAGATGGAACCAACTGCTGTGTAGGGTAATGGTATCAGGGAACAAGTGTTAAGTTCCTTCTTCCCCTTGAACCTTGCAGTTTCCCTTTAGTTCTCTCTATTGATAGAAATAGGGAGCCCAGTGGCAAAGGGGATGCATTTTGCAAAGACCCAAGCCCCACCTCTCAAAACAGAGGAGGATGGATTTGAATGAAAGGTAGTAATTTAACAGAGCCTAGTAGAAAATACTGACACTTAGGCACCAGGGCTATAAACTGAACAGTTTTCGTTAAAATCAACTAAAAGCATTTGTGTGATTGCCCTGTAGTCCAGGTGTAAAATATGTAGATGTTATTGTTGATGTTTGAATTTTTAATGAAGTGTTTTATTCTGGAACAATTGTATGTTAATGTGTGCTTTTAAGAAATAACATGGGCGCCTGGGTTGCTCAGTTCCCTAAGCATTTTACTTCAGCTCAGGTCATGATCTCGCAGTTCATGAGTTGGAGCCCCATGTAGGGCTCTGTGCTGACAGCTCAGAGCCTGGAGCCTGCTTCAGATTCTGTCTCCCTGACCCTCCCTGCTCATGCTCTCTCTCTCTCTCTCTCTCTCTCTCTCTCTCTCTCTCTCAGGAAGTGAAGAAACATAAAAAAATTAAAAAATTAAAATAAATAACGTGGAGGAATTCTGTGTACCCTGTTCCCCTTTTCCCCTAATGATTAATTATCTTACAAACCTATAGGACAGTAATACAACAAGTATATTGACATTAGTACAGTCACAATGCAGAACATTTCTTTTTTGTTTAATTTATTTGAATTCAAGCTAGTTACCATACAGTGCAGTACTGGTTTCAGGAGTAGAACCCAGCAATTCATCACTTCCATATAACATACAGTGCTCATCCCAACAAGTGCTCTCCTTAATGTCCATCCCCCATTTAGCCCATCCCCCACACCCACCTCCACTCCAGCAATTCTCAGTTTGTTCTCTGTATTTATGAGTTCTTATGGTTTTCCTCCCTCTCAGTTTTTATCTTATTTTTCCTTCCCTTCCCCTGTGTTCATCTGTTTTGTTTCTTAAATTCCACATATGAATGAAATCATATGTTGTGTGTCTTTCTCTGCCTGACTTATTTGGCTTAGCATAATACCCTCTAGTTCCATCCATGTTGTTGCAAATGGCAAGATTTCATTCCTTTTGATTGCCAAGTAGTATTCCATTGTGTGTGTGTGTGTGTGTGTGTGTGTGTGTGTGTGTGTGTGTGTGTGCATATATATATACTATATATATATGTATGTGTATATATATATATATAGTATATATATATATGTATTAAGTATACATATATATGCTATATATATATATATATATATATATATATGCGCCATATCTTCATTATCCATTCTTCATTTGATGGACATTTGGGCTCTTTCCATAATTTGGCTATTGATAGCACTGCTATAAATATTGGGGTGCATTTTTATATTCTTTGGATAGATACCTAGTAGTGCAATTGTTGGGTCATAGGATAATTCTTTTTAATTTTTTGAGGAACCTCCACACTGTTTTCCTGAGTGACTGTACGAGTTTGCATTCCCACCAACAGTGCAAAAGGGTTCCCCTTTCTTCATATCCTCGCCAACATCAGTTGTTTCCTGGGTTGTTCATTTTAGCCATTCTGACAAGTGTGAGGTGGTATCTTATTGTGGTTTTGATTGGTGTTTCTATCACCATAAAGCCCTTCCTGTTGTCTTTTTATAGCCATACTCACTTCATTCACATCCCCCAACTTCTTCCTTAAGCAGCTGGCAACTACTGATCTCTCAGTTGGTATAATTTACTCATTATAGGGATGTTGTATAAATGGAACCATACACTATGTAGCATTTGGAGTTGGCTTTTTTTATGCAACATAATTATCAGGGGCTTCACCTAAGTTATTGGATGCAATACTTAATTCATGTTTTTCAACTGAGTAGTATTTCTGGTAAGGATATACAGTAGTGTGTTTAACCATTCACTGCTGAAGGATGTCTCAATTGTTTCCAGTTTGGGGCTATTATAAATAAAGTTGCT